TCTTCCTATGGTGATACACACTATCCTTAAGTTTGAAGTTTAAATCTCCAGTGGTTCTTGAGATATTATGATAACAATCTCAATGTATGGAATTTCATAAGTTGACCTCTGTGACCCTTGACCTTTGACCTACGTGCTCCAAAATCTAATCAGATCGTCTTCCTATGGTGATACATACTATCCTTAAGTTTGAAGTTTTTACATCTCCAGTGGTTCTTGAGATATCATGATAACAATCTCAATGTATGGAATTACATAAGTTGACCTCTATGACCCTTGACCTTTGACCTACGTGCTCCAAAATGTAATCAGATTGTTTTCCTATAGTGATACACACTATCACTAAGTTTGAAGTTTAAATCTCCAGTGGTTCTTGAGATATCATGATAACAATCTCAATGTATGGAATTTCATAAGTTGACCTCTGTGACCCTTGACCTTTGACATACGTGCTCCAAAATCTAATCAGATCGTCTTCCTATGGTGATACATACTATCCTTAAGTTTGAAGTTTAAATCTCAAATGGTTCTTGAGATATCGCGCTAACAAACTCAATACAAGGAATTTCATAAGTTGACCTCTGTGACCTGTGACCTTTGACCTACGTACTCCAAAATCTAATCAGATCGTCTTCCTATGGTGATAAATACTATTCCCGAGTCTTAAGTTTAAATCTTAAATGGTTCTTGAGATATTGTGATAACGGTCAAACGGGACGGACGTACGGACGTACGGACGGACAACCCGAAAACATGATGCCTCCGGCACCACCTTCGGTGGCGGAGGCATAAAAAGATGAGGAGACCTTGGGTGATGCACAGCTTGTTAAGTTAACTCTGAAACACTTATATTTTGCTTCAAATTAGAAAATATAATTATAATATAAAGTAATCACAGATGTTGTTGATTTTCACTTTTAGATCAAATAACAGTACATGCACATCATTATTTACAAAATGATATATAGTAATCAAATGATACTCTTACCTAAATCCTTTATTTGCTTAAATTCAGTTGCTGCTTCTAAAAAATGGAGCTACATGTATATACACGTACAGCTCCAATAAAGATCACATGAAGCTGTTTGTGTCTTGAGGATATTGTTGGTATTCCCCGCCATCCACGTTCTGCCTAACAACAGAGAATATAAATAGCATCCAATCAGCGAGTTCAACGTCAATCACATGATTTGCCTCATTCAGCCTTGTATAAAATGTGGAATAAATGAATAACAGTACAGTGAAACATTGTATTTAAATCCTGATTGGAATGTCACTTATTTGCATTCACATGTGGGATAAGTAATGTACATAAGTATATTTTCAACGATTCTCATAGAAATTAATACAAAATGATAGAATAAAGGTTAGGTAATTTTAATCAAAAGACAGCCATGATATCCAACCATTATTATCTCATTTCCTTTCACAGTATATATGTATATATATATATATATAAATAGGTACTGTACATATATATATAGATATATTACTATTTTAAGGTTATAGCCTTAGGTATACTATGTGTGATTATGCTTTGCGTGTGAACAGCCCGTGTGGTGTACACACCACGTTTTCTGTGTACTTGAATGTTAGGTCCAAAGTCCACACAATCGAGCCTGCAGGGTAGCATTAAGTATGAAACATATAATGACATACAAGTACACCTCACCCTCATACACAGTTACACACATACCCTCAGAGTCTGTGTGTATTTGTGACCAGCTGGTCCCTCTAATGCATGAGGATGCATGCACAAATACACACAAATACACACTCCCACATAAACACACATATACACCAATAAACAAAGGCCCAAAGAAAAGCACAATACATAATTGCAAATATGTAAATGCATATTAGGTTCAAATTAACAACCAAACATTTTCAGTATTAATTCTTTCATAGCATTCAGTAAAAATAGACAGAAAATATATAGTATTTGAATAAAATTTCTCACATATTGTAAATAATTCATTGTATAGATGAATCCACCATCTTATTAAGCAAGACAAAGCCGAGGTATATTGCCACAGCTTGTTTGATAGAGAGAGACACATGTAATTTGTGTTAAAAGCAATATGTATATTTAGAATTTAGACAGGCTGATATAATTGGAAAAATACATCAACAAAAGTTATTTAAAATTCAGATGTCATTTGAAACAAAATGATTGATTTATTTTACCAATCGATATAAAATACAATATTGACTGTGGGGCAAGTATACAAGAACAAAAACAAGTAAAGAAAAGAAATGAGCATTGAACCTATTCACTGCTATTCTATCATTCCCATATGCTTAATACAGAACCCACCCAGTTCTACTAGCCAATGAGTTATAAGGTAAACCTTATTTTCATCTAAAATAGGAAACCCCAACCTGTAAGCATATATTTCATGGAAAAAGATCTAAAATATAGTTACACCTACATGGATAATTTAGCAACGTTAAGAAGATTTCTAAACTAAATAATGTATTAGCACATGATCTACCCCTCAATTACTTCATATAATTCATGCACAACACAACCCACACACACCAACTAAGATTTCCCCTTTCTCAATTACTTCATATAATTCACGCACAACACACACCCACACACACCCACACAGACCAACTAAGATTTCCCCTTTCTCAATTACTTCCTATAATGCACGCACAACACACACACACCAACTAAGTTTTCCCCCTTTCTCAATTACTTCATATAATGCACGCACAACACACACCCAAACACACCCACACACACCAACTAAGATTTTCCCTTTCTCAATTACTTCATATAATTCACGCACAACACACACCCACACACACTCACACACACCAACTACGATTTTCCCTTTCTCAATTACTTCATATAATGCACACACACACACACACACCAACACCAACTAAGATTTCCCCTCTCTCAATTACTTCATATAATGTACACACATACACACCCACACATGCCAACTACGATTTCCCCTTTCTCACTTGACACACACATCCAGACTCACCTACACATTTAAACCTAACCACTTGTTTACATGCACTCACAAACACACATAACCACATAACACACACCCACATGCACGTTTACATATGCCACCTTCATCCACTTTTTTCTGACATCTTTACCTTTTAAAAAATATTTTATGATGTGTCTGATCATGGGGTCTCATTTATATGTCTTGTTTAGCAGAATCTTATGCCCATGGATTTCTATCAATGTGTCTGTCCTATAATTTTTTTTTGTGGATGGTCTTCGCACTCATACTGGGCGTGTATGCTCTTGTGGCACCATGGGTGATTTGACATTTTCTCTTGTGACAATTGCTCCAGTACTTTTGCGTTGGTCAAATGTAGATGTATAGAGTTAGAATTGTGAATTCAATTGGGTTTTAGTTTAGCATTAGAGCTATAAGTTTGGTGTTAATTTTGTATAGAATTATGTCCAGGTTTACCGCCACAAATTCAGTGATTGTAGAAAAATGACTACAGAACAATCATTGCAGGAGCATGTGTCGTACACCATGAGCTTTGGATAATCTCTCGTAGCTAAGAAAGCCCCATGATATGTCTGGTAAACTACAGTATCGTTTAGAGGGCATAGTTTGTTTTGTTATCTCTTCCACTATGTGATGTCTCTACATGAGATGACTTAGACACAGAAAGACAAAAGGCAAGTCTGACTTGGTCAAACTACAGACACAGAATGATCTTTATTTAATATGAGATAGAATCGACCAATAAATGAGATCTTTATATAATTAATATTAATTACATCTTGACATTCATATCAAGTTAGATATATGGGAAGTTAAGGTCTGTAGCTGAATTGAATATACCATATCACAGAACATGATCCCCCATCATGCAAGAAGGACATGTACTACTTAGACCTCATCCATTATAAAGAGATAGGCAATAATCTATTATTAGTATGTGACCTAAATTGTGTAACCGTGGGCATCACGTTTGCAGTCGCTCTGGAGGTTTGGATACCCATCCACTTTAACTATATCAGTTTATCCATGACAGAAAAATGCACTAGGAAGGTAAATATTCTGGTTAGGAATTGGAAAGCAGGTTTTTTATTTTGAAATTAGATCACAAAACAAACTATTTGTAATCCTGTGGTAAACTAATCACTTTGGTTTACTTTCATACAAATGTTTTTCCCTATTTAGAAATCTTTGAGAACAACACATACAAACAAACCAAAAGACATTATTTACAATAAAAGAACATTCCCATCTGGCACTCCTTCCTGTTACTAATTGGATTAATATTTATTCAGCCAACACAAAAGAGCATTATTATAATTAAAAAAAACATTGAAGTTCATGTTACTCGGTATCCAAGTGTCTTTGGACAACACAAACTTGTATTAAAAATCCTGACCTCATTGAATGGAAGATATCATAAAAGAGCACAATAGTAATTGAAAAACATTGTAGTACATGTAACTCGGTATCCAAGTATCTTTGGACAACACAAACTTGTATTTACAATCCTAACTCATTGAATGGAACCAATTCTGACAAAGCTAGTACTTTTGTGCAGTGTTCTTATTGTCCACTCTCAGTAAACTATGGATAATTTTATTTAAAAATTTTCAAATTGTAATTTATGTTCCTCCATAGAATATTCTAATTTTAAAGTGATTTACGATTTTCTAGAATTAAGAGGATTCTAGTTAGATACAAATAGAGTTTATATTCTATTAATTTTCTCACAATTCAGTTTGATTCAAAATTGAGCTAAGAATCATTATGAGATCTCCATTATTTTTGGAGTCTTCATTGAAGTGTATTGAAGCATTTTCACTTTAGTTTAATGATGTCATACAAAGTTGAATGTTCTTTAAAGTATTGTAGAATTTACACAAACTCTGTATGTTTGCTTGATCCGTTTTTCATCGTCGGAAGTAGTGATGTATTCGATTCTAAAGGAATGGGAGGATCTTCACCGTTATTATTATTATTTCTGATATTTGTTTTAATTTTATAGTGGAAAAACAAACTCAAGAATAGCAATGTAAGTTCAATAGGCAAGAGAATTGAGTGAATGATCACACATATGTTGGAGTTGCATGTTTCCATATTAGTTGGAATGGAGGATGTCTCAGTGGAATAGTAATCACTTTGATTGTTTTCTGTGAGAGTGGTAGGAAGAGGCATTGTTGTAATTTCTGATAAAGGAGGGCAAGGATCATTGCTATCATCATCAGTTATAAACAGATCAGTATCCTTACATTCACATCTTTCTTTGTATTCAGCCAAAGTAGAAGAGCAACAAAATACTGGCTGTGACTTTCTGATAAGAATGGTCTGTTTTAATAAAGTGTCGGTATGAGTAGGATCGCTTAGGGGAGGCATCCATACACCATCCTGATAGCATTCAAACTCTCCTGATAGACTCCCAACATTAGCTGTACAGTGTATTGAGACCCAGTCTCCACCCTTATCTTCACTCACAACACATGATGCTTTACCAGGAGGATAATCAACCTGTAGCCAAATCCTGTGTGTTTGTTCGACTAGTATCTCCCCATCCTTGAATACAGACAAAATATATGTCCCTTGATCAATGCTCTTTAGATTACTTATTGTAAAATTCAGAGAGCAATTCTCAGTGTCATTTCTATTCTGAACCTTGTATCTTTGTACCTGATCTTGTGACAAAGACAGTGACGACCCATCTATAGAGCGATAAAATGCGAGTCTGTACGAATGCTGTAATGTGACTTCTGTACTGTCACATGGGTAAGGGAAAATCAAGTTAACTTCCTGCCCTTGTATTTTAGATAATTGTGTTGATTTACATCCATAAAGATTTGTGAGAATGATAGAAATGAATAATAATAAGATTTTAAATCCACCAGTCAAGGAATGAAACAAAACTTTCAACATTTTGAATTATGGTTAAATTCTGAGTTAAGTTCTCCACTTACTGCAAAGAGGAAAAAGTGATTGTCAGAACGTTATATAATTTCGAAATCTATATCACGACCAGTAATGTTTCACCTTTAACATCCAACTCAATAGGACATTTCGAGATGGAAATTGTTTGGCTAAAAGCTAACGAGTTATTTGAAATGCAAGCGTAAATGCAATCTATTCTTCAGCTAGCATTAATACGTCGTCTGGTTCTCTGACATTTACACAGGCATGAATCCTACAGTCACTGTAGTAGTAATGCACTGATTGTGTACCAGCTTTTGTTTCTGATGGATTTGTCAACTAGATATTCTTACTTCTTAACTTAGAACATTCATCAGATTGGGCAATTAGAAACTCAGCAAAAGTTGATCCATCAACCAGGACTGAATAATTCCCTTCTCAATCATCAGACTTGATTTCAATTTGATAAAACAGCGATAACTTGCAGACCATATCTCTGCATTCAGCATTCAGCTGTGGTATAGAAATGGCCATTAGAGTAGCTTCAGATGCACAAAGTGTCATATCCGTTGCCTGGATGTGTTATAAGAAAAATTGTACAACATAATTGTGGTGATAATTGCTCTATGGTCACTAGCTCTTGCTAATTTACTAACTTCCACCCAGGACCCAGCACTATATTCCTAGCCTAACTCACCTAAAATATAACCTACATGCATAACCCTATCAATACCCAATGTTTACCATATTCTTGTACATGTAATAATATAATCATTTTGTTTACCGGGAGAAGCCTCATCAGCAGTGTTGTTCCCTTCTGGATACCTGGATGTGATAGAAGAAAAAATAGAGTAGGTTGATTGTACAACACATATTGTGGAGATAGTTGCTCTATGGTCACTAGCTCTTGCTAATTTACTAACTTCCACCCAGGACCCAACACTTATTTACCTATTCCTTAGCCTAACTAATTGAACCTAAGATATAACCTAAACCCGGTCAATACCCAATCTGTTACCATGTATTGGTAATAGTACAATAATTTTGTTTACCCAGGGGAGCCCCATCAGCATTAGTGCTGTTCTACCTGTAGGCCGTGCAGTTACTTTTATCCCATCAATTGCCAGGTACCAATTTACATCTGGGTAGAGATTGGCGTATATGGCTTAATCTCTTGCTAAAGGATGTTAGTGACAGGCTTGAATTCAAACCCTTAACCGTTGGATTGATAGCCTATTGGGTGCTTTATGTTCAGAGCAAATATACTCTAACTTTAGTTTGATATAATTCTTTGTGAGTACCGGGTAGGTAGTATTATTTGCCCATGCAGCGGAGATGGTAAAGAAAATCAAATTATACACTTACCTAACTCTCTTGTCCTCAGATTGCTTAAATTTCTGCTTGTAAAACATGAAAGCACCGTAAATACACCTCCCATAAACAACCACACGAAGCTGTGTATTTCAAGTGGACAGTTTGCCTACCTGCCTTTGAAGGTCCTCTTGACAACAGGGAATATAAATAGCATCCAATCAACGAAGCCTGGAATGGTTCCGAAGTTTAGTACCCTGTGAGGTCCATGTCAACATTAGGCCCATTCACACTTTGTATGAAATATGGATCTAAATAAATTAAATCAAATCAAACGAATGAAACACTGGAAATGTATTTGATTCCTGATTTAAATCCCACTTATTTACCTGTACACATGTGAGATAAGTAAAAATGTATGTACATAAGTGTTTTTACAACAAGTCTCTTGTGGAAATAAATACAAAATCATAGAATAAAGGTTGGGTAGCTCACATCAAAGTAGAGCAGTGAGGAACTTGATTTCAGCTATGCAACCATTATTCTCTCATTTCCTTTCACATTATACATGTATATATATAGAGAGAGAGAGAGAGAGATAGAGGGAGAGAGAGAGAGAGAGAGAGATAGACGTGCAAGTGAATGCATTTACCGGTCGGTTGAACCATGTTAAGTGTTTATATTTGCTTGGACTTTCTTTGTCAGGTTATCAATAATTTTGTGATTATGCTTTGTCAGTGTGTGAACAGCCATTATGGTTTACATATCACATTCTCTGTGTGCTTGAATGTCAGGTCAAAGTCCACACAATCAAGCGTGCATTATGATTTATGAAACATAATGACAATCACGAGTCGCACACCTCACCCTCACACACACACACACACACACGCTAATAAACAACACTAAAAGGAAAGTTAACCGGTAAGAGGTTTGAAATTGATATCAAAGAAAAGTATCCATATACATGTACAACCACAAAATATAATCATACTACATAACACAGTTTGCAAACCGGAGATGAAATGTATCGATGATGTGCATAAATATATATATATATTGACTCAGAAATCGCTTTGTGAATATTAAGTTGTGGTTTCATTTTGATAACACATTAAATAATCTGCAGATACAATACTTTAAGTCTCAAATGTAGTTTAGAATGAGCCATTAAAGACACGTTGAGGTCCAAGGTTCAAAGCTAATAAATTATACATTGTTGATAGAGAGATACATGCATTTGTTTAATAGTACATATACAAATATGATAAAAAATTACTTGTTTTCTTATTCACATGTTAAACAGACTTATACAGTTTAAAGAATACATCAACAACAGCCATTACAAATTCAGATGCCATTTGAAACATAGCAGGCCGAAATATAGTGATAGATTATGTGGAATGTTGAAGTTTTTAGATTCAGATTCATTTATTCACTCATCAGTATAAAATACAATACATATACACCATAGAAACATAAATGAGTGGAGATCAGCATTAAAAATGTATATGAGTTATAATATATATATATATATATATATATATATATATATATATATATATATAAACTATTTGACCCCATTGTAAGTGAATTTTACTAGAATTACTTACATTTACAACCCGGCAGACTGGAAGAAGGCTTGGGTTGCAGATTATATGGAGAGAGGGAGAGAGAGAGAAGGTAATGAAAGAGGATATAGGTCAAGATGACCGGAAGAAAGGATTGCTAGAGGCTAAGTGATTTGTGTTATGTAACAAGAAGGAAAAAATACAAAAACACTGTAAAAAACAATCAAATAAAATAAGTTTTCGTTAATAGCGCTTAGTGTTGTTACTTAGAATGGCATTTTTTATGATTATTTTTAGAACTGGTAATCAATGAATATATCAATTATACTTTTAATCACTTGTCAAGTTGTAAGAATGATAATCATTCGTAAAAGATGTTTGAAGGCATCTTATGTGGTATCTTCTCACATACTTTACATTGTCAGTACAACCACAGAAAGCCAAAGAGCGATCTGAATAACTATTGCCTTTAGTTTAAATTGTCCTTTTTCATATTTGTGGCAGCATTGATGCAATCGATGTTTAGAAGTAAGATTCTGAATATTGCACATCCTTCATATGAGCAATAATAAAATTTGTTTTCATTGATGATGAAGGTTTTTGTGACTGTCTTTACTGAAAACTATTACCCCTCCAGCCCTCATATTCCAATATAATGCAAATAACTGTATATGAGCACCTAGCTCTATCATCAAATTTCTTATAAATTTATTTATGGGTTTTTAATTAATCTCATTGGATTATAATAATTTGTTAATTTTGTACAACAATATTTTATGAGGCTCTGAGCTTTGTGTAGCTCCAGATTGCTAAAATACAACAGTTAGGAATCATGCAACCATGAAATGCCAGACTCATGGCTGGCCGAACATTTAGACATTCAGATGAATTTTGAGTTCAAAGTTTAAGTATTTTCTAAATTGACAATTGAAATGACATTTTTTCCTTCCATATAAAACAAATAAATAACCTGTTTATGTGTATAGGTACTTAAATTTTTTAATTTTTTAATTGTTTTTTGCGTCGCTATGAAAAAAAAAAACACTTTGTAATTAACGCTGACTTGGGAATGGAAAAAAATTATAAGATATAAACAGTGGTTATAAAATTATTGTGAAACATCTCATTGATTTAATTTCATATTCTTGTTTTCTAGGAGTTCATTATTAAATTGCGAGAAGATGATAGAACTACTGACATCATATCTAACAACATCGTACAACACTCAGTTAGTAAGTATTGCACAATTAATCTGTTTCTTTTGTTTGTTGCTTATTTCTTAGAGCATTCTTGTATATAATAGAACATTTATTAGAACAATTCTGAGATGATTTTCTCCAGGTTTCAAAATTGCTTTCTCAAAGAGTTATATTGCTGAAGTGTTTTCTTTCTTTCTCACTTAAAATTTGTTTAAACATTTGTTAAAAAATCATGAAATTCATTGTGGATGACTTTCATCGTGAAACAAAGTGGCTTCGTAATAGCTTCTATGCTTAACATGTAGAGTTGTTTCGTTTTATGGATCTAAGAAAGTTCAGACAGCAAGACAGCTAGAACAAATCAATGATGATATTAAAACATAATATCACTTAAACTTAATTTTCATATTTTTATCTTTGATAATCAATTGCCTTACTGGTATGATTAATCAAAGCTAAACCATAATCATCCATTATACTCAAACCATTCCTATTGAGATTTTTCTGATTAACAAGGGTGTGTTTGTTACCACTTTATATTTCCAATTTATAGTACATTTTAATTGACAATAAAACCCAAACAACAATATGGTGTTTGGATATACGGTTTCATTAATGTATTACAGTCTGCCATCTAACCTCTATCCTCTCAATAATGTTTATATATTTGTAAAAGTAAAAAGTACAGTAAAGAAAAAGGGACAAGAAATTTTTTGTTCTTTCATTTGGGCCTGAAAATTGTACTTTGAATTTTTAGTTGTTTAACTGTTGTATTAATATATTTTCCAGCTTTGTTTGTTTGGCATCGAAGCCATTCTGAAAGAGGATTTAATCTCGTCCGACGTGGCTCTTAGTCTTCTCAGTTCTCACCTTACATCATTGCAGGGTAGCCAAGATAAAGCTATCAGGGAAAAGTCTCTCAAGGTATGAATTTTCATACAATGCATATTTATACAGATGTCTATGAATATTCATGGTGTGTGGGTGAGTGTGGGTGTGTGTATGGCAGATTTGTATCAATCAGATCTCATAATATTCATTTATAGAGGAACTGCCCTCCACCCTCATGGCGTCTCCATTTTCTTGATAATGTGACGTACTATAGTCGTTTATCAAGTAAATGCATTCAAATTTATGGATGCTTCCTTTCCAAGTGTGTGTAGTGAGTGCACTTCATATTATAAAGAAAATAGCTGCACCCGTGTCATGCCAAAAGTCATTACATCATACCATGTATATCTTCATTTGTATATCTCCTGTATTTTCATAAGGAATATTCTACATCAATAGGCAGGAATAAATCTCAGCTTTCAGAATACCTACACTTATTCTTTGGGGTGAGGTTTCCTTTAATCACTGAGCACAGGCTGAGCACCCTTCCAAGTGAGGCACAGGATAGAAATGCAGATGGTTCAAATATCCATGGAGATGTTTATTTATCATAATTATCAGAACAAATGCATGTGTAGTAAGATTCACTTTGTAATCCTAAAGCCTTTTGCTTGTCACCTATGGAACTTTAGATTTTAAAAATTGAAATGCTCATGGGGTATTTTTTTTTCTTTCATTAAAGTCCTGTCTCAATTCTTTCTTTTTTTCAGATTTTACGTCAGTTGGAGAGGCTTGAAGCAGACACCAGTCTAGATCAGCCACTGATGCCGGAGAGCCAGCTCATCTTCCAGTCAGTATTAGAAGCTGCTGAGGCTGAAATACCAGCATCCTCGGCTAACACAACTCCACTGAAAACTGTTCTGCCAAGAGATGCCTTTTCTTCCTCAGACGGAGCACCAAAATCATCTGGAGGATCTTTGTTCAGTGGTATGACCGTAGCGACCAGATCGCCAGTAGCTCCTGGAGGGAAGACCTCAACAGGGATGTCTTCGAGTTCTGCCAGTAGGCACAAGGAAGCTGAAGAAGGACATTCAGTAGCTGATCTGCTAATAGACACCCAGTTCATGTCAAAGTCAGACTCGTCAGAAACAAACTTACTCCTTTCTGACACTAAGCCAAGTTCAGTAACAAATAATCGGACACAAGGAGAGTTCACACAGGTAATGAGTGCACCTGCTGCTTATAGCTTAAGTAATGTAAACCCTGCAGCAACATCAGTACATCAGAAATCTGTTGATCCAGAGGCATCTCAGCACAGTAGGGTGGATCCTATAATGTCCAGAGAGGCAGGGTTCGCTGACCTGTGGAACACGGTGTCCCCCAAGGAAGCATCTTCTGACCCAAAGGCTTCATCAAACCAAGTTCTCTCACAGCTCAGTACAGCAACGCCACAGGTTGATATGCCTTCACAACATCCTCATCCTAGCATGACCTTACAACAGCCAGTCATGTCAGCACAGCATATTTCCCAGATGTACCCTCAGCTATCATCGATCACCCTGAGTGGGATGACCTCGACACCGATCAATCTTGCCAAAAAACCAACCACGGGGTTTGGATTTGTTGTGGACAATGATGATGAGAAGCAGAAAGCAGGAGCAAGTAGAGATGCCTTTAGTTTCATCCAAGATGCAATGAAAGATAGCAAATCATGATGACTAATTAAAGAGGAAATTAACCTCACATGGGATACCCTTACATGTAGAGACAACTGTAGTGATTGGCCTCCTATCAGTTTAGAATATAAGCCCCTTAAAAACAGTTTGAACACTCAAGTTGAATCAATTTTTAGCTCTCTCGTCATGGCATAATTAATCATCACTTGATTATTATCATTAGAAATTGTGTCTATTCCCCTTTAAAATGACGCCATATGTAAACAATTTTCCAGCCAGAGAGTGAGTAGCACAACATAATATAGGGCGGGGTAAAGAGGTGAGCACTGCATGGTATTGGTATGCATAGCACTCTTTTTTTCTTAGACACAAGTGTGATTTATGACATTGAGGCTTTTGTTTCCCAACTGGTCATCCTTGAATGGCAAATTCTGAAGAATCTGATATTGAAATTCATGCATTATGGTGACATGTCAGGCAAGATTCAATTTACTGATTGGTGATCAACTTTCTGAGTGTACAATACATATGGGATGCAGTAACTTTTCGGATCTAAATTGTGTAAATCTGATATGAAAAATCTGGTATTAAAAAATGTGCCAGACTCTATGTGATAAAGTCATGAAAGCTTGCAGCAAAAAAAACCTCAATCGTATCATGGCAAGGGGTAGGAGGTGGAATCTGCCTCCCTCATCCCTTTTAGTTTAAAAGGGGAAGTCCACCCTGATATTTTTTTTTGGTTTTGATAAAATCAGAAAAATGAGAGAGGCTAATTAGTGGAAGTTTGAGCAAAATTCAATTAAAATAGGAAAGTTATGAATTTTGAATTTGTTATCAGTTGCGTATTTTGCGAGCTCCTCTCCAATTTTCTCTATACAGAAAATGTTATAAACTTCATTTCCTTAGATACTGGTGACAGAATGAATTTTCTCATATAGGGGATGTATAAAAACGTATGTGAGATAATTTAATTTAGGGTTAATGACTGATTTAAAATTTTCATGAGGGAAACTAGACATTTTTAAAGTGTTTTAGTACTGGGCAAATGGGAGGGGAGCTCGCAAAGATTTGTCACAGAGTTGCCAATTTTGATTTGATTGATCGCACCTTCAAAAATTCATAACATTCTAATTTTTAATCAGTTTTGGCTCAAGCTTTTACTGACCTGTTTCTCCCATTTTTCTGCTTTTATTAAAACCAACTTAATACCAGGGTAGTTAGTGTTAAGCATGTTCACACCCGTAAAAAGATGAGGGTAAAAATACTGTTAGCACTTTGGTCAGTTACATTTACGTTGTGACCCAAAAAAGCTTTATGAGAAACCATTGTTATTGTTAATCAGGTAGGCCTAGTTGTATTTCCGTTCATCTCTTTCAAGCATCTCATTTATTATTTGTCTTTCCAAATGTCTGTTTTTCTGCAATGTTTGTTTGGTGGGGGGGGGGGGTTCTTGGTCACAATGGTTCACGCCTTTCCACAATAGTAAATATCTCTTTTGTGTATAAAAGCATGATTGCTTTTTAACAAGTGCAATAAAGTAAATCCAACATTATTTTTCTTTTATTGTTAGCTTTGATTTTTGTATGTCTGTTTGTATTTATTGTTACTGTCTTCAATGTTAAGTCAAGTCTCTTGTTATTGCTTTCTTATAAGCCGACTAATACCCCCTTCACATGCATGGATTTTTCTTACGAGTCCTTACGAATCGCCAACTCGTAGTCAATCGTAAGCATTCGTAAATAACTCGCTGGTATCCGTAAATGACTCGTAAAATTTGTGTAACGATTTGTTACGGTTGGTTTATGATTTGTTCACGGATTATTACGATGAGATTGTTACGATGGGTTAACGGATTGTTACGGGTTATTACAGGCATTTTATGTGTAGTTACGAGTACTTTACAGATAAATACGTTTACGCTCCATATTCTTACGTATTGTTGACGATTTAGGGAAAGGTATAGAAGCTGCAAAATCGTGATGACTCATAAATACTTGTAACTAACTCGTAACTATTCGTAACAACACGTAAACGGGTTGTAATATGCTCGTAAGTTGCTCATAGTCATCCGTGACAACTCATAACAAATCGTGGAATTTTGCCGTATAAATAAATAGCTCGTAACAACTCTTAAATCGGTCGTAAAAGAGGCCAAATCATAGGATTTGTGAAAATCTGTGAATTGGTGCGATCTTTATAAGGACTCGTAAGAAAAATCTGTGTATGTGAAGGGGGTATCATAGTAGAACAGATAGGAACAGGAGGTTTTAAAAAAGAAATAAAGAAAAAATCTAACTTCGAGTAAGAGTCGGCCAACTATAAATGCAATTTTGTCATGTAGCTGTGGTGGCATGACTTCAAATACAATTTTCAGAAGAATCCTGTTATAGTTTTATTGGTGCATAATACCCCCTTCACATACACAGATTTTTCTTACAATTCCTTACGAATCGCACAAGTTCATGGATCATCCACAAATCCTTACGATTTGGCCACTTTTGCGATCGATTTACGAGTTGTTATATACGAGTTATTACGAGATATTTACGGTTTATCACAGTCTATTACGAGTTATTACGATGTATTTACGGCAAAAGTCCAAGGTTGACACGGATAACTATGAGCAACTGACGTATTAGTTACGAGTTAGTTACGAATATTTACGAGTCCTTATGATTTTTAGCCCAAAAATAATAGCTGAAAATGAAGTGTTCGAATTTGCAGCTTTTATACCTTTCCCCAAATCGTAAACAGTTTGTAAGCATACGTAAAGTATACGTATCTATTCTTAAAGTACTCGTAACTACACGTAAAGTGCTTGTTATAACCCGTAATGATACGTAAAGCCATCGTATCACGGCCCGAATGAAATGGTAAACAACACGTAAGCACTCGTAAATAATCCGTAAATAAATCATAAACCATAACAAATCGTTAAATTTTTTGGTTACGAGTCATCTATGGATTCTTACGAGCAGTTTATGGATGGTTACGTGTTGCGAGCGGTTTACGGGAAAATAAATCCATGGACAATCGTAAGAAGATTTTTGACATGTCAAAAAATTGCCTCTCCTTTCATGGATCCTTACAAGTTTTTACGAGTTGTGACGAGTTATTTACGAATACCAGCAAATCTACGGATGCTTGCGATTAACTACGAGTTGGCGATCCGTAAGGACTCGTAAGAAAAATCTGTGTATGTGAAGGGGGTATTAACCTGCAATGACACATTACCCTAAAAATAATTAAGATAGAGATGGTAATTTGTAACATCTCATTACCAAATCAAGTAGTAGACATGGATCCATGACCTCACAGACTTGACCACGTTGTCAATTGGATGCCCTTTGAGTAGAATGTTTGAAATTACATATATTTTTCCTCTCTCTCTCGCTCTCCCTTTGTGATTGTTCTGCTTTTAATCAAAGAGACATTGAAACAGGTTTGACTCTTCCTCAAAAGGCAGACTTGGTGTTCTTCCTAACATACGGGCTGTTACTGCCAACTTGCCCCAGTGTCGCAAACAATTCATATTTGCCAAACAGACTACAGTGGAAACTTGTTGTAACAAGGACACTGGGGCCATGAAAATTACCTTGGTATCAGGTTCTAACAAGTATCTCATCCAAGAATATGGATGTTCCACCTTCTGCTTTTAAAAATTGTCACTCACACACACAGACACAGTCACACAGCAAAACTCTCAAATCAACCAGTCCATCTACCAACTTTTTACAAAGAAATTTTCATCAAAAAAGCACTCGGAGACAATTTTGTACTCAGTTATTCTGTATTTAATTCAACAGGACTTGCAATCCGGTGCAAAAGGTGAACACAATCTGACATTTTTTGGCATTTGGCATTATTAAACATCTTTCCTACTCTTAATCAAAATGCAATCATGTACAATCATTTTATTTAGGAAAGCGAAATTCATGAAACCTTACAAATTCTATTTTGTACTTGTATGAGTAGCTCCATGCTAAAATGCATTTCGATATAGTATGATACATTTACATTCAAATGGGAAGGAAATACAGGAAGCGTAAAATGTATTTGCATAGGTGGTTTTAAAAAAAGTGACTGGGGAAACTTTGACTTTGATATGAGACTCTTGAGTCATACAGATTTCACCATTACTGTCATCATTAATAGAATCAAAATAAACAGTCGGACAGGTATTTCAAACATTATGCTGAAGTCAGGAGAGTTACAGTTAAGAATAATGATAAAAGTAGGGTGGTTATAACAACAAATTTGTATCAATCTAACTTCATATTCCAGAGATGAGAAAATATATTTGGCAACAATGTTGCAACGGTTTTTGTTTTCTCACTATTTGTACTTGTATTTTTTTACTTTGAGATGGATCGAGAGACATGGGTTTGGTTAGCTCCTATTTTACTGACTGCAAGGATTGAGAAAGTAGATGACCAAATGGCCAAAACAGCATGAAAATTAATAAAAATGTAGTAAACATGAAGCGTATACGGCAAACATTCAAGTAGCCAGATATAATTCATGAGTTTATCTATCCAAAACATAGTACTGAATTTAATGACCTGCAACTTTATGAACATATTGCAAATACATGTACATGTACACTGTTTAACACTTACACACATCTTCCCAAATGGTTTGTGCAAAGGACATTTACAGCAAAGGTTGCTTTTCTCTATTACATTGTCAGTATGGGTTGACATGATACATAAAGGAGCATAGCAACTCATTTTAGTGATTCATGGTGTATGTGATTCCATTTATATATGGAGTGGAAAATAAATAACAGCAGCATGACTACAATAAACACAAACATGGAATGAATAATCACTGATTTGAGATCGTTTTCTTTCATTCTTTTTGTCGAGCTGGATACCAATTTCAAACCTGTGATTTACTGTCATTTGGAAATCTGTGAGAAAAATAACGCAAACAAACATACAAAAAGACATTATTTAATATAATAAAACATTTTCATCAAGTACTCCTTTTTGTAACTGGAGAGATATTCATTCAGCCATCATAAAGGAACACAATAGTAATTCAAAAACATTGAAGTACATGTAACTCAGTGTCCAAGTGTCTTAGGACAACAAAACTTGTATTTAAAATCCTGACCTCATTGAATGGAAGACATCATAAAAGAACATAATTCAAAAACATGATAGTACAATGTAACTCAGTATTAAAGTGTCTTTGATCAACAAAAACTTGTATTTACAATCCTGACCTCATTGAATGGAAGACATCATAAAAGAGCATAATAGTCATTCAAAAACATAGAAGTACATGTAACTCAGTATATAAGTGTCTTTTGACATCAAACCCTGTAAACAATCCTGACACATTGAATTGAAGCCATCATAAGAGAACATAATAGTGATTAACAAACATAGAAGTACATGTAACTCAGTATATAAGTTTCGTTGGTCAACAAAAACTTGTATTTACAATCCTGACCTCATTGAATCGAAGACATCATAAAAGGACATAATATTAATTAAAAAACATTGAAGTTCATGTAACACAGTATGAAAGTGTCTTTGGACAACAGAAACTTGTATTTACAATCCTGACCTCATTGAATGGAAGACATCAAAAAAGAACATGATATTAATTCAAAAACATTGAAATTCATGTAACACAGTGTGAAAGTGTCTTTTGACATCAAACCCTGTAAACAATCCTGACACATTGAATTGAAGCCATCATAAGAGAACATAATAGTGATTAACAAACATAGAAGTACATGTAACTCAGTATATAAGTGTCGTTGGTCAACAAAAACTTGTATTTACAATCCTGACCTCATTGAATCGAAGACATCATAAAAGGACATAATATTAATTAAAAAACATTGAAGTTCATGTAACACAGTATGAAAGTGTCTTTGGACAACAGAAACTTGTATTTACAATCCTGACCTCATTGAATGGAAGACATCAAAAAAGAACATGATATTAATTCAAAAACATTGAAATTCATGTAACACAGTGTGAAAGTGTCTTTGGACAACAGAAACTTGTATTTACAATCCTGACTTCATTGAATGGAAGACATCATAAAAGAACATAATATTAATTCAAAAACATTGAAGTTCATGTAACACAGTATGAAAGTGTCTTTGGACAACAGAAACTTGTATTTACAATCCTGACCTCATTGAAAGGAAGACATCATAAAAGAACATAATTCATAAACATTGAAGTACATGCAACTCAGTATGAAAGTGTCTTTGGACAACAGAAACTTGTATTTACAATCCTGACCTCATTGAAAGGAAGACATCATAAAAGAACATAATATTAATTCAAAAACATTGAAGTTCATGTAATACAGTATGAAAGTGTCTTTGGACAACAGAAACTTGTATTTACAATCCTGACCTCAATGAATGGAAGACATCATAAAAGAACATAATATTAATTCAAAAACATTGAAGTTCATGTAATACAGTATGAAAGTGTCTTTGGACAACAGAAACTTGTATTTACAATCCTGACCTCATTGAAAGGAAGACATCATAA